CCCAGGGCGCGCAGGGCCTGGACGGTCACCCACTGACCTCCTTCATTTCAAAGCCGAGAAACTAAGGCCCCAGAAGGTTGTGGCTTATGTGACCTGTCCCAGCCAGCCTCCTTCTCGGCCGGGGAAACATCTGACTCTCGGGAGGAACAGGGGACCAGATAGAAACTCAGAGACTTTTTATGGCCGGGGGTGCTGTGTGGGGAGCGGGGGCCTGTTAAGTTGGCAAAGACTTCCAGAAGCAGTTTCTCAATTTTCATCAAGCGTTGAAATGTACACACCTTTTGACCCACCAATCCTATTTGTGAGAATTTACACCTAAGGTATAAAGCACAGACGAGAGAAGGTGCATGCATGAAGACGCTCATGCCAGCGCTGTTCACGATGGTGACAACTGGGCACGATCTGCAGTGTCCGTCGGGGTGGACAGGTGAAGTAAAGAATGCTCCATCTGTGAAACGTTATGTAACTTAAAAATCATTTCTATTAATGTTAACTTGGAGTGAAATCTATGACAGAATGTCAAATGGGAAAACGGTCCGTAAATGACTTGTATGATGTAATTTAAACATATAGCCACACGTACACAGCATACACACCACACACACGTGCGTGCACGAGAGAGAGAGAGAGAGAGAGAGAGAGAGAGAGAGAGAGAGAGAGCGGCCCTCACTGGTGCCCCAAGAATTAGACCCAATCCATCATGGGGCTCGGGGTCCTGGAGTCGGGACCAGGGCACGTGTCAGCACCATCCCAGCAGGAAAGTCACAGAAGTGGGATGTAGGAAGTGCTGAGGTCTTTGGAGCAGGGAGAGGCACATTTCTGGAAGGCTGGGGAAGGAGGTGAAGGCTCACACTGGTTCCGACACGGAGCCAAAGCCTGACCAGGCCCCCCACCGCCAGAGCGCCAGAAAACCGGGGCTCAGGTAAGCACTGCCCCCCGGGAGGGCAGACAGTCGTGATGCGGTAATAACTGGCGCTGTTTTTATTGAATACCTGTCTTTCCACACTCGCCCCACCCACCAAAATCAGGGACCCCCATAAAGTCAGGCTCACTGCCCTAGCCCAGCACCTGACATTGCCCCTGGCACACAGCGGACACTTAACACACACTCTGGATGAATGAACGAGTGAATGAATGAATGAACGAGCGA